GACTCAGCCCCGTCCCTGTGAAATGACAGCTAGTCTGTTAGTACAGTTGTCACCGCAGGGACTCAGCCTTTTTTCTAGAAGCCTGATTTCAGCTCTCTTGCCCTCACACTCGACCCCCTAGTTCCTTCAGCCTGCCCCCCCCGCCCCACTCACAGCGCCCCTCTGCCTCTCGGCGCGGTCTCTCAGCATGCTCTCCAGGTGCTGCTGCTCCGTCTCTCTCAGCGCGGTGCAGAAGCTCTCGAAGGCTTGCGGCCCGCGCTTCGGCAGCAGGGACAGCAGAGCCCTGTTCCTCTGGAACGACGTTTTGTCGGCCTGGGAAGGGGGAGAGGCAGGCAAGGTAGAGCAATAAAGACACAGATAACATAACATTTAAAGGCACATTTTCCTCATATTTCCCACACAGCTTTACAACTGCACTCTAAAAAAGCCTCATCTGGTCACTTGCATACACAGAGGCAGAAAAACGTAAGAAGAGACAAACAAGGACAATTGTTTCAAAGTTCCTCCCGTTTTCAACTACAAATACTGGTCTCAACCTTACTGTCAGACAGACAGACAGAGAAAGTTTACTTTCTCAGGCCGAATTCATGTGCCAGAATTCATAACCCAGCAGTACTGGACATTAGGACAATCACAGTATGAGCAATTCAGAGACCATTTATAACACAAACCTGAATATGTTTCAATCCTCAAGGACACGAGCTCCTTTAAATAAGCATGTTACTTGTGTAATTGGTCAATGACTGACAAATGTTCCTAGTCTTTAACCAACTGGTGCCGGAAGGTGACCTTTAAGACTGACAGGACCAGGGCTCCCCTAGTTTATGATACGTGTGTGTACGGCACCTGTACACGCAGCTCTGCTGAGACGGGGGGCGGAAGCGCGCACGTAAAGGCGATCCGACGCACAAAGGCTCCTGGACAGAGAGCACGTGGCTCTACTCACCATGATGCTCTCCGCCATGCTTTCGGTGAGGATGCTGTCTGACAGCAAGTGCTGAACCAGCTCGTCGATGACCAGGTCTTTGCACAAAGCCACTGAACACCGTCGCAGCGCCTCCCGGTGGTACGGCAGCATCCCACACGGACTCTTCATCCTGACACGCGGGGCGAGAGAGTGTTAAACACACACCGTCACCCAGGGAGAGAAGGATATTGGAACAGCAGTACAGCACCACCCGACAGATGCGTTTCCAATGGAACACTAAAAGCAACAAGGAGGACTGTGACAACAGCTCACATCACAGAGCAATCGCCCGGCCAGGATCCAGGTTTGACTGCCTGCACGCTCGTGCCGTGCTCCTGGGGCCCCACACACCCGCCGCCTTTCATTCCAGCCCGCCTTCATTAGATCACTGACGCCTGCCCTCGTCGAAGAAGTTGCTTCCATTGAAGTTGCATTTTTTTTCCCCCTCGTCACAAGTCTGGGATTTTATTTCACAACAGCTCTTACGTGTTGAAGAGCTGGGGACAAACAGTTCCAAGTTAATCTGATTATTAAGTGAACGAAGGGGTTTGATTGTGGAACTGCGGGGCTCAGCTGGAACGAAAAGCAGTAGGTGTGGGGGGGATCACCAGGATGGGACTGGGAATCGGTGCTCCGGGACAAACTGCACCGCTGAAGCCAAAAATTAAAAAAAAAAACTGTTCGATAATTACACCCCACATCTCCACTGCGAGCTCATCGCCTGCTCTAGTCAGTCCGCGCGGAGGTGCGGATCTTACAACCTGGAGTGGAGCACGGTGCTGTGGAACAGGTGCCTGATGTTTCATACCTGAGATACCGTGTGTACTTATTGGTAAAGCAGTCGTCACCAGAACTGCACAACGCGTTTATCAGCCACACCAAAGAGGACTTCACGTGTTCAATTATGCTCACGATCAAGACAGATAACGAATAAACCAGGGGTCTGCGATGCAGGTCCCCTGGCATCCCCTATCCAACAGGCTGTGTGACCCTCTCCTGGCTGGGGGCTGGGGGTTGAACATGAACAACCTCCGCTCTCGAAGAAAGCGGAAGAAGGCCCAGAACCCCCGCGGAGGTTGTAAAGCCGGGCCGAGGTGCTGGTCCAGTCAAGAGCTCAGCCTGGTCCCACGGACCCGAATCGGGAACCCCTGCCCCCCCAGACGACCTGTTTCTCCCGAATCCAACCCCCCCACCCCCACCTTTAACGGGGTTTACGCTGAACCCGTTCTGGGTTAGCCGGAGTGAGGGACTTCATGGTTGACTGTAACAATCACCGGGCTGGGTCTCGCAGGGTCTCCCCGGCTGAAGAG